TATCTATCTATCTATCTATCTATCTATCTATCTATCTATCTATCTATCTATCTATCTATATCTATCTATCTATCTATCTATCTATCTATCTATCTATCTATCTATCTATCTATCTATCTATCTATCTATCTATCATCTATGTGTGTGTGTACCCTGCATATAGAGCGAGGTGACAATCAGGTCTATATGTGCGGCATGCAAAGGGATAGATCCAAGAAGGGAATTTAATTTACCAATGTCTAAAAGGTATTTCGAGGGTGCTCTCTGAGCATGCTTGTTTTCTTGCAGACGTTTCATTACTCAAACGAGATAAGATCATCAGTGATGTGGTTACCTTTAGTTTGCAAAAAAAAACGTCTGCAAGAAAAAAAAAACAACGAAGCTCAGAAAGCCCCAAGGCACGTCAACACGGAGCTACAAATATTGCCCTTTAAAAGGTAAATTGTAAAACGCCCCAGAGACTCGCGACCTCCCCCGCTTCCTCTAAGGCTGCCAAGGCCACCTGGCCGGCCTTCGGGGCGGGCTTTGGAGGGGGGGTGGGCAGCAGTAAGCAGCACCCTCCCCGCCTCCGGTTCCGCTTCCCAGGCCGAGCTCCAGAGCGCCAGCTCCTCCTCCTCCTCCTCCTGTCCTTTCCACTGCCAGGCGGGTGGAAGGCGAGCGCCCCTTTGATCGCAGGTATATAGCGCTCGCTGCATGGAAAGCGAGCCCGTTCTGGAGAGGCAATGCAGCTGAGTCAGCCGAAGAGAAGCGCAGGGCTTTCGGTGGCAACTCCAGTGGAGAGAAGTAGCCGATTTCAGAGGACACCCCCCTGCGACACCCTCCGTCCCTCCCTCGGGGAGCTGCCCTCTTCGGTCTGCAGGGATCGGTCAGTGCGAAGTCTTGTTTTCTTTCTTTCCTGTTTTTAAATAATGCATCACTTGATCGTCTACTGGGAGATGTATTACCGGCTTTGCAATTGGAGAGATGGCGGTAGCAGCTGCCTGCAGATCTTTAAAACAGCCGAGCCTCTTCCCTGGATGAGCTGGCCCACAAGCCCGGGAAAAGATGCAGCTGCTTTAAAGAGCTGTCGAGTGATGCTAGGTTAGTGCCCTTGGCGTTGCCAAAGCGAATTTTTGGAATAGAACCCAAAGCATTCCCCAGCCCTGATTTAGGTATATACATACAATAACACATGAATTTACCATAAGCCTAAATATATATGCCTACATTTATTTCTATATATATCATCTATAACTATATATCTATATAATTTATTGTTTGATTTGTATCCCACCTTTATTAATGTTAGAGTAACTCAAGGCTGTGAATATACTTGATACTCCTCTGAGAGAGAGATTGGCTCATTGTTACCCAGCTGGCTTTGTACCTAAAGGCAGGACAGAAATCATAATCTTCTGTTTTCTAGTTTGGTGCCTTAAACCATTACAGGTAGTCCTCGACTTATAACAGTTCATTTAGTGACCGTTCAAAATTACAATGGTACTGAAAAAAGGGACATGATCTTTTTTCACACTTACAACCATTGCAGCATCCCCTGGTCACATGATCAAAGTTCATATGCTTTGCAACTGATTCATATTTATGACAGTTGCAGTGTCCCAGGGTCATGTGTTCCCTTTTTGCAACCTTCTAACAAGCCAAGTCAATGGAAAAGCCAGATTCACTTAACAACCATATTACTAACTTAACAACCGCAGTGATTCACTTAACAACTGTTGCAAGAAAGATCATGAAATGGAACAAAGTTCATTTAACAAATGTCTCATTTAGCAACAGAAATGTTGGGCTCAACTGTGCAAATTTCCTTTTCCCTATTAGAGTTTATACATATCAGATGACAAAACCTTTGAAAATTTTGGAGATGTGTAAAATGTCAAATTGATTAAATTCAAGAACTGAAATAAAGGACACAAACGAAAGTAATATATCCATTAAATATTAGTGTTACATTGTTACACCTTAAATAGCAAATTTCTCAATCCTGATGATCATCAGTTTTATATACTGCATGATAGATTTAGTAATACAAAGGTAAAACGTTTGAATAGATAGCTAATATTTAATTATGTTTCCTTTGTTAGCTGCTGAGTTTGGCAAAATTCACTCTATTGTTACATCCTCTAACCCCCACTCCTTTAACCTCAAACTAACCACTATTGACCTCACCCCATTCCTAAGGGGCATGCATAAGTGCACCATCGCGCCCACCGTCACTGTCCTATTGTGCCCATTTATTCATACCTATTTCCTGTATTCTTAGTCATGTTTGTACTTATATCTATTACCTTGTAAGCGATTGACAAATCAAAATAAATAAAATAAAATAAAAATAAAAAATTCTGATCCCTCCATAGGTATCACTGGTAAATGACTATTTTTGGTTAGGATGCCAAATTTTTCTAGAGGTGGAGGTGGAAGAGGGAGAGAGTAGAACTAAAGATACATGTTGTTTTGCATTGATACCTCACCATTAAAGTCATTAAAACTGTTTAATAACAATTTGTGTTACTGATTGCCATTAATTGTCTGCTGTCGTCTTGAAAGACCCTATTTTAGTTAGCTAGTGATGGGATTCTTGTCTTTAGTATTTATATATTAATGATTATTTGTATCATCATTACAATTATTGTAACTGTTCTTGTAGTTCTAGACTGCTTACAATAAATACAATATGGATTATATATATTTATTTATTTATTACCTATAGGCAATGTCAACGTACAGGTTCAAACACATATTACCAATAAAATTCTAAACAAACAATTTAAAATGAGAGTAGAGTAAAACACAATAGTTATAGCATAAAGTACAATAATTGAGTACATAAATATATAAAATAGAATAAAATGACATAAAATTATATTTCTTTATCACCCCTACAATCTACCCCAATCAGGCGCAATATGCCGATCTCAGTAGGACCAATCACTTCTCAGCCTTTTGGTTAAGATCAAGTATAGTATCTATAAAAGATTCATAAATACAGCAGCCTGTTAAAAGCCATTACACATTATTAGTAATTTTTTAAAAAATTGCAATCCAAATTGTTGCTGCTGATGGACAAATCTTTACATCTGAATGGTCTCCTGGAAAGTTCCTTTTTTACAGAAAGACATCAGAGTACCAGCACATTTGACCTTGGGCCAGCTGTTCTAGAGAAAAGGGTCTGCTACTAAAAATATCTCAAGCCCCTTGTAAGTGGGTATGATCCTTTATCCCCTGGATAAAGGATAAGACTCTTTGTAGGGCAGGCAGAGTCTAAATGAAGATGATCCTAAAGGTAACATGTTCCCAAGCTGTATGGGGCTGACTAGATAATCCCACCACTTCATGTTGAGCTATAAACTTGCTGGCAAACATTGAAGATCCTACACTATCAACTCTGCTCTAAAACTGATTGGTACCAATCAGCAAGAAGGCTTTGCTATTCTCAGCTTTCTGGGTTATTTTCAAGGGCAGCCCCAAGTAGCTGATAGATGAGGCAAGAGTGTGACTCACTATTTTCAATGCCTTCTGAATCTTGCAGTTATTTTAAAATAAATCATTCTTCATATATATATAAGATTTTAAAATAATGCATTGGAACAAACTTTAGTCATCTGATAGTTAACTATAATGAGCCTGCATATCTTTATAGCAAGAGAGAGTGCTAGAACTGTGCAGGATTCAATAGAGTTTAAAGAAATATGAATGGGAAATAGTAGGATGCTGGAGCAGGAGAGTTTGATGCAATATGGCTTTATTTGGTCTGATGCTTTTATTGGAAGCTAACTTCTGGTGAAAATCACTGAAATTGTTGAGAGCTGAAATATAGTTCCTGAATCATTGTGCTTAGATCCTGACAAAAACTTGCACTGTACTTTATTTTTGCTAACATTTTATTTAAAAAGTTTGTATTTCTGTGACATTTCCACATGGTTTGGAAGAGAAATCCAATCCCAATAATTTATATATTGAAGTAACTTTTGGTTAAAAAACAAAAGACCTGAACAACTTAATATATATTTAAATGAAACATGAAATGCAATATGACTCATTTACTTGCTGTCAAATTAACATTTTCATTTTCTTCCCTTTCCAAATCTAATTTAGAGATACTCATCCCATCGCCTTGCGTACTACAAGAAACTTTGTGATTTAGAGTCAACACAAAGCAAATAAAAAATATGAAAACAAATCCTGTCATCCAAGCTGCCATTGACCTCACAGCTGGGGCTGTAGGTAAGTCCTAGGAATTGCTGTTTACATAAATCCTGTTAAAAACTGATAGCAGCTGCTTTTATGCTAGTTAAACAAAGCTCTTCTCTGGAGGTGTAAGGCAATTCTGTTGACAGCAGTGTGGGTCCTAAAGGTGGCTTGTTTAGTGAAGGGCACTAACAGGGAATAATGTTTTGACCTTGCCGTAAATTATGAGCTTCCCATGAATTGCTTCCTTTCCTCTAATCCCTTCCTACGGAGGAAAAGTAAATGTGTAAGCACTTTTTTGTCTAATAATTTCCTAACTGCGGCTTTTAATTTGTTGAGACCTTATTTCATGCTTACACAAGCATTTCAAAATATGTCACAAGAAAAAGTTGAGCAATGATTGGAGAGACAAGATAATCTTTGTTTTGTTTTGCATTCTATAGTTAAGTTGTGTGCTGGTCAGTCAACTGCCTTTTATTGGTTTGCTTTTAGGAACACAGCCGTGTAGATGGCAGCTATTGGTATTTCTCTGTAGTCTCAGCTGTTACCCAGGTGAAAAGTGAAGACTGCCCATCAACCACAGACACAGAACAAGGCCTATCCTGATCTGGAGCATAGTGCTCTCCTTGGTGGGGGCTTTCTCCTTCCAAGGCCAAGCAGATGCTCACAGGAAGCCTATAAGCTAAAGACACAAGAGACACATAACACTTTAAAGTGAAAACCAGCTGTTTGTGTAAAATAGAGGGAAGTTTCAAATTGAGGCTCCTGTCCTTCTGACGAGACCTACAGAGAAAATACTGCTGATATCAGAAGCCCCCAAAATGGATTCTGGTGTAGAATTGCTGCATTTTTCTCTGCTAGGTCTGATCTGGGTGTGTCAGCTAGGCCAGGGGTCCACAACCTCCCAGTCTGTGGACCAGCACTGGCCCATGGCATGCCAGCAACCAGGCCACACAGATAAGCAAAGGCCCATCTGCGGGATGCAAGTAGCATACGAAACCACGCCCCTTCCAGTCCGCTGAAAAACCTCCCTCCGCAGAATTGAACTCTAGTGCCCAAAAGGTTAGGGACTGTTGAGCTAGGCTATCAGTGGAGCTTAATAGCTAGCATACCGCTTGAGAAACTCTGGAAGTTGAAGTCCATGCATCTTAAAGTTGACAAAGTTACCAAATAGTACTCTATTGTATTTCTGGACAAGGATTCAGAAGTGGAATCTACAAAACCCAGTACAAGTATGAAAGAGAAATTTGCAGCCATCATTTAGTTGCTGTTGCTTGTTCTTTTGTTTAAGAAGAGGGTAAGAAAAGTAGAAATTACAAATGCCCACATGTGCAAGAGAGAGCCAAGTTTGTACCTTGCTTGCATTTCTTAAGTCAGCGTAGTTGTCACTACTATGGAAAGATAGGGTCTTTTTTATATCTGCATTCATTTTTTTAAAATGATTGTCAAGAGCACAGAATAATTAATTTCAGTTGTAAAATGTGTGTTCTTGAGGCTTTTTTTTTTTATAGTTCAAAGCATTTCACTTAGAAAAGCCTCCAGATGGACATTTTTGATTCTTTGGTTTTGGAGGAGAATGATGGGAAGATAACGTTTTTGCTCCCGAGTGTTTCTTCTGTAGGTCCTTGGTGCTCTCTCAGCTTGATTGTTCTCTTGCAGATGTTTCATTTCTCAACTAGGTAACATCACTGTTTCTTTTGCTTAGGATAGCAGGATTTTATAGGAGAAACCACTCTTTTCATTTTCAGTGCCGCTCCTCGGTTTTTCCCAGCTTTTGTTTTTTAATCTTAGAAGTGCCCTTCTTCTAGATCTATAAATCACTCAGCACTTCCAAGTAAGGCGAATGTGAGCTTTCTTCTGTGGTTTCTTCAGAAGAAGAAAAATGTGGTGTTGGGATTCCTGCTATTATATGTTGTTAACATGTGGAAATCCCATAATTCGTTCAGGTAACTTAATATTAGAGCAAGCATCAGCAGTTGTTCTACTTTTTTATGATAGTACTGATACAGATTAGATTTAGATCATGATTCTTTTTCATCCTGAGTGAGGAATTGAATTTTGGTTTCCTAAATCTGAGTCATAGCCACAGAGGCCCTCTGTGCTACTTTTTAAAACTGTGATGTACTCCATATATTGCAACTCCCAGAATTTCCTACCAGCACGCCAAAAGCCGCGTTGGCTGAGAAATTTTAAACTTTTATTCTAAAATAGCTAGACGACACCAGATTAGGGAAAGCTTGTAGTACATCAGAGTTCCCCAACCTTTCTGGCTTTGAAGACCGGTGGAGGCGGGAGAGGGGATAGTTCCGTGCAACTGTCTGGCAAGCATGCACACAGCTCCTTTTGTGTGAGTGGCGGGCGCCGGCGCCCACTGCTCGCCTAAATGGAGCATACCCATTCACCTACTTCCCACCACTTCTGCAGCCCAGGGGTTGGGGATCCCTGTACTATACTGATTCAACTTATGGTATATGTGGATACTTTTCAGTGAGATTCACTGTCTGAGACTGATGAAAATGTCATTCAAGTCCTAACCAAGGACCTAAGAATTATTAAAATAGTATCTAAGAATATAGGCAGTTCCAACCAATTCCTAATTTTTTTAAAATTAGGTGTTCAGGTCTAATGAATTCAATATTTCCAGATAATGTTATGCTCCAAGGGCCCCAATCAAAATTGGTATAACAAAAGATTCCCCCCTGCATCATCATTCAACTCTGATCTACAAATTCTGATATTTCATAATTTTTTTCCAATTGTTTTTCCTCAATCCTAGCATAATCCAAAATAGCAACATAAATGAACCAGACTTTCTTCTTTTCAGTAAATATCAGGCAAGTTATTAAGAAGATGCTTGTCTGTTTGGTTCTTAAAGTCCCATAAGATGTTAACCCCCTCATTTTCCGAAACCTTGATGATCCCAGGGGCTTTTATTACATTCAAATCTAAACCTCTGGTAATGTTTCCAATGAATATTTCTGGCAGTTTGTGAATGTTTGCTGCAGCCACTAATCAAGTGGTCAAGTGTGTCATCCTTTTTACTACAAAGGCAATATTTGCTGTTGTTTGTTACATGTTAAATATTTGCCTCCATGCAACTACGGGTAGTTGGCAAAGTTTATTCTTGAGCTACAAAAATAAAGCCTTCAGTTTCTTTCATTAACACTCCTGAACTTAACCAACTCCATGTAGGTTTTTTTTTTAATCAGCTTTTCCTTCTATATCTTTCATGCATTGATTTGTTCTTCCAATTAACTGTCAGTTTTCAGTTGTTTCTTCTATACTCAGCCTTCAGCTGTGCTGCTTTCAAGAGCTTTCCCTGATTGGGTACCTTCAGCAAGGATTCCTGGCTTTTCTTAATGTAGTCATTCAAGCCATGCTTTTCTTTCTCCACAGTTTGTTTCACCTTCCTCTAGCTTCTTCAACTCTTGGCAAATAGAGCCGATCATGATGTGTTATCATTAGTTTTTGGGTACAAAGCGAGGTCAGTTGTCATTAGTTTTCTTGTCTTCCAAGCCAAGTCAACAGTATTATTATTATTTCATCTCACCTTTTGTGCCATTCAAGATAGCATACATAATGCTTTCACTTTCAATTTTCCCCACAACTACCACTCTGTGAGATGGGTTTTAATAAGTCCCTTATTTGAAAAAAAAAACAAAAACAATCGGGATAGTATGATTTTAATACTTCAGCTCCATCCAGAACCCTACCTTGAATTAAGGGATTATAGGTTCATAAAAAGGGAGAGCATGATTTTAATACATATTATTTATTTTGAAAGAGGGAAGGAGTGACTGAAATGAAAAATAACCCAAATCTCAGAAAATATATTCTTGCCTTCAGATTCATAAGACCTGGCTTTTAGTTTTGAATATTTTTTAAGATGAGGGAGGTTTGGCACCATATGAAATTGCCAGATAGTGCCCTGTGTGAAAAAGTTGATAACTCCTAGAGCAAAGCAAATATTCTGGTTATCCCTAGCATCAAGCTTAAAATATTATAAATTTATAACTAATATATATATAAACACACACACACACACATATTAATATGTGCCTTTTTTGTCAAGGATAGTTTTCTTTCTCCAGTTTACCTCCTTTTGCTTGAGAATGTTATGTAATAGCCAAAATGCAAAACCAAAACCAGCCACCTAGCAACTCCCATTTCTGATGTTTTTACTTTCCTTTCTCATGCAGGAGGTACTGCCTGCGTGATAACCGGTCAGCCATTTGACACCGCAAAGGTGAAAATGCAGACATTCCCCACCATGTACCAAGGGCTTGTGGACTGTTTTGTGAAGACCTACAAGCAAGCAGGGTTCCGTGGCTTCTACAAGGGGACCACCCCTGCACTTGTGGCAAACATTGCTGAAAATGCCGTGCTCTTTATGTGTTATGGCTTTTGCCAAAATATCGTGAGGAAAATTGCTGGCCTAGATAGGAAAGCAAAGTTGAGGTTAGTGTGTGATTCCCTCAACCACTCTGCAACTAATAGAAGCTATAAAAAAAAATTTTTTTTTTAAAGTATCATAGTTCAGAAGTAGAAGTGGAGTTCTCACACCCAGAAAATGAGAATCCTATTGAGATAGAAACTCTGTTCCTTGACTCTGATGTTTTTCTTTTAATTATAGCTTGATTTTTTCTCTCTCTGCATTTCTGGTACTTAGGAAATATGGCAATAGTTTAAAACATAAATATCTATGGATAAAATCCTTTAAGTTTTGATTAATTGAGCCATAAGCTTTCTCCACTTAATCAGGTTATGGGTCAGACAGTGTTCCAGGCAAGCCAGCCTACTACTACGGCTTTCTCAGTGAAATTGTTTAAAAGAGGAGTCTGCAAGAAGAAAATCTGAAAACCTTTTCCTTGCCACCTTATTCCTGAAAGAGTGGCAACAAAACTTGCTGTTTGTAACATGGCACTTCCTTTCTGTCCTTACTTTACCTTAAACCAAGAATGGGAAGCTCACAGGCTCCATGTGGTCGTTCAGCTGCCCCAGATTGAGCCACTGAAATTCATTGGCAGAATGTCTGATGTAGGTGGCATTTCTTTTTGAACTATATGGGTGGGAATACAGGCAGGAGGCTTTTCAGAGGCCTAAAAACAGGACTGCAGTCCAGGTGCTGAGGACAATCATCAGAAACTCAGTCATACCATTTCATCCTATTTGGGGGATTTCTTAAATAAGAATGGGGGGGGGGAATAAAAGTGACTTGCTCCCATTCCCTCTGTACATCCCACCAGTACCTTGAAAAGCAGATGGAACATACTGAATTCTTTCCCCTTCTGTTGATGTCACTATGTCATGGGATGGCTTCCTGTTGACTCTCCAAAAAAAATCAGGAGTTGAGGTCCCCAATCTAAAGAAGTTGCTCACCTCTGTTTTAGATCATAGTTTGCTGAAGGAATTCTAAATAACTGAGTTCCTATAACATGATAAATGATAATGTATGGTTTGCAAATCATAGTGGCTAGATTCATAGGATAATTGAACCAAAAATCAAATCATATCATAGCTTTGCATAGTATATAAACCACATGCATCCACTCTCTTCCACCTATCCACATACTGATTTATTTGCAGATCAGGTATTTGTACTCCTTGCTAATAGGATTTCTATAGCAAAGGATGAAATGCTCCTTTGAACATTCCAATGAAAATCCAGTTAACAGTATCTTCTCCCTCAGATTGATAGATACCAGGTCAACAACAGGCATGTAATATATTTTTTCCATATTCCATGTCCTAAATCCTTGAGTTATATCTGGAATTTACCTGTTTGCGATTGTTAGTCAACTGCCAGAATCATGTGAGGCTTCAGTAGATTGCCGCATGAATCTGCTAATCTGACCTGTGACCTTTGACAAATACTTGACCTACTTTCAGAGTTGCATGATTGGAGAATTGTTTGTTCTTAGGATCAATTAATGTTTTCTAAATGTTAACTGCTGACAATATGAACTGCAAAAAAATCCCAAGACAAAATTAAAATGAACAAAAGTAAAATATATAATATTAGTTTAGCTTCTTTTAAAGCCAAATAGATTGCAAAGCATCTATAAGCTTGGTGTGAAAGTTGATGAACCAAGAAAGAGTATTTACATCCCCTTAATGCCTATGAGTTGGGTTAAGTTAAAGGATTCTTGAAGATGGATGCAGGACATTTGAAACTTTTGAAAAGATAGAACACTCAGGACAATGGATAGGCCTGGAAAACAAATGATAAAAATCATCATGAGGGAATGATTCTGGAGCTTTGAAAACATTTGGAGGACTGCCCCATTTAAATCATGTAGGCATCCAAGAGTGGGCAAAGCAAAAATAGAAATACTGTGGAAATGTGCTGGGTCACTGAGCAAGAAAGGATGGTGACTGGGAAAAAATGGATGTAAAACTCTATCACATCCCCAACTTCTTTCTTTCCTCTAATTTCATTACTGAAAGTGTTTATCACTGTGACCAGTTGCCCATTGAAAACAACAAAGAGGTTATGCTTATTTTTTTTCAGTAATGTTGAAGCTTCTAGATACATTTTGGTAGGGAGTAAGATACTTGGAACTGTTGTAGAACACTCTTTTCCTTTAATGTTTGGTACAAAAAGAGTCTTATCTACTAATGATAATCATACAGCATCCTGTTTTTCAGCAGGGAATTTAAAAGATGCTTCATTAAATCCAGTGTTGAAAGCATGATCATGGTGATATGATTTTATCTCACTAATTATATATATATATATAATTCAAGACAGCAAGCATATCTAATACTCCTGTCTTCTATTTTCCCCACAACCACCACCTATGGTTGTTTCATCAGGTGGGATGCTATAAAATGCTCCTTTGCTATCTCTTTTTATAATTATTTGCAGCACCAACTGGGTAAAGGCATGCTAGCTTTGAGCTGCATGTGATTTCCATGTACTAGAAACACGTCATTTTTTATTTTTTTTGCAGCGACCTTCAAAATGCAGTGGCTGGCTCCTTTGCTTCTGCCTTTGCCACTTTGGCCCTCTGCCCTACAGAGCTTGTGAAGTGCCGTCTGCAGGCCATGCACGAAATGAAATTATCTGGGCAGATAGTGCAACAGCACAAGTAAGTAATTAGTTAGCCTCAACCCTGCCTGCCTTTTCCAGGTTTGGAAATGGTTTGACACTTTGAATTAGTTTATTTCTCTGCACTTACATGTTTGTATATTATTTTTTAATTATGTTTCCCATATTTTATTTTATTACATTTTGATTGATTTAAATTCATTAAGAATTTTTTTCACAGAGTAAAAGATAAATGGGAGGAAAAAAGGAGGAAAAAAAAACTAAAATTAGGAAATAGAATCACTTTCCATCTTTTTTTCAGTTCAACTTACAATCGTATAGTCCCTTTTCTCATCATTAGCTGGCAACCTATGCTTGTAGCAATATTCTTTTTCTTCTCCTAGTACAGTTTGGTCAGTAATAAAAAGTGTACTGCAAAAGGACGGCCCCCTTGGCTTCTACCGTGGTTGGTTCAGCACTTTGCTACGTGAAATTCCAGGCTACTTTTTATTCTTTGGAGTCTATGAATTGAGCCGGACCTTTTTGGCATTTGGAAAACCAAAAGAAGAATTAGGTATGTTTGAGCTTGCTAACAATATGTCTTCTTGTCTTGAGATAAATACAGCTTCTTTTAGTCCCACCCCTGCTGATTTTTAAGCTCAAAGGATGTCTGTATAATAAAAACAATCCTGTTGCCTGTTCAAAATCTTCTCATATAAACACAGTAGCTTTAAATTATTTATTTAGTGTATGACATACATGGACTAGAAGCCTTAAAGATTACTGGTTAAAGAAAAAGAAGCCCAACCCAAATTAGGTGGAGAAGAACCAGTGCCCATTCCTTCCTTCAGTTCTTGACCTGCACAAGGAAGGGGGAAAAAAACCTAACAGCAGCCAAGTCAGAGATTTAGAGAATTGGACAATTCAGTAGCCAACACACATCGTTCAAGTGATTCCCATAACTCACCAATACACTGACCCTTAAAACAAGCATGCTTACCTGTTCTAATAGGATATGGGAACTATCTTTTTTTAATGAAATTGCGAGTTGGTGGGGAAATCACTTGGCTTTTTTGCTATCATACTACAATATATTAAGCTCCTGCTGCTTGTTTTTATAGGTCCGGTTGCACTGATGCTCAGTGGTGGCTTCGGTGGCATGTGTCTCTGGATTGCTGTTTACCCAGTGGACTGCATCAAATCTAGGATCCAAGTTCTTTCCATGGCAGGAAAACAAACGGGCTTTATGAGAACTTTTGCAAGTGTTGTCAAGAATGAAGGTTAGAATATGGAAGAGACTAACGGGGCCATGGGTGAGGGTATCTCTTAACTTCTGAACCGCCACAGCTGAGGGATCAGCTATCCCCTACAGAATTGTTTTTATGCCTGCAGGTGAGACTAAATCACAAACAATAACCCACATTTGAACTTGGTATAATATGTAAACCCAGTTCTTTTCTGTCTCCACCACCTCCTTTTTTAACATACGGCAGACTTTCTTGATTGGTCCCCTTTAAGTTTGGGCTGCAGCTCACATCATCCCTGAAATGTTCCATATCACAGCAAAATACTCCAAAACCAAATTGTATTATGACTTGTTTTAGGCTTTAGACAAGTGAAGGACAAATAATGTGTTATGTCATTTGAATCAAATATGACTACATAACTACATCATTTGTATTATATCTACATGCCATTTTGATGTTACTATACTTTTTATAAACTGTACACTCATTTCATTTATTGTTGATTCCTTCACTTGCACTTGCAGCCTTCCGGTCTAATTTTTGGTAAGAAACTTAGGTTTCATAACCTGTGAATCCATGATGAGTTTAATCACTCTTAAGATATAATTAATCTATGACAGTGGTTTTCAACCTGTGGTCCATTATCATAACAGGGGGTCCACAAAGGCTTGAAGAACTGTTATGATTTAAATCTTAAATCTTGGGGGTCCATGACTATGGTCCATGGCACAAAAGGTGAAAGAAAAGGTTGCGAACCACAGACCTATGATAGTCATGGTCCAGATAAAATTTTAGATTTATTTTTTCTTTCAAATTCACTATCTCCAAATCAACCGCAGGATAATTTATATATAGTTTTATTATTACTAGAATCCAGTCATTTCAGTCTTACAATTTCATCTTTAATTTTTTGAATAGATTATATTGCTTAACATATTTCTGGACCTTATCAACTACTCACTAAAGCAGTGGTGGGATTCAATTTTTTTTTACTATCTTTTCTGTGGGCGTAGTTTGGTGGGCATGGCAAAAGGATACTGTAAAATCTCCAGTCAGAGGTGGTATTTGTCGGTTCTCCGAACTACTCAAAACTTCCGCTATTGGTTCTCCAGAACTGGTCAGAACCTGCTGAATATCACCTCTGCATTAAAGTAAGATAAATAATAAATGGAGATAAAGATAAGTCATCTGATCAAGCCAAAAATATTTAACCATTTCTTCTGAATTTGTAGGTAAGCTGAAATTCCTAAAAGTTTATCTTTTGTTGGATTTCCTTGTTCAGTTTTAAATCAGTACAACATAGTCTGAGTTTTAAAAAGTGATGGAAGTGAAATTCTAAGGTAGTTTTTCTAATGCTTATGTCTTGCTCCTAGGCGTGTTTGCCTTGTACTCTGGACTGAAACCTACTATGATCCGTGCATTCCCAGCCAATGGTGCCCTGTTCCTTGCCTATGAACACAGCCGTAAACTGATGATGAACCAATTTGATAGCTAGAACTTTTATCACAGACTGATATCATTAGACTATGTGTAGTCACCACAGTAATTGTCCAACTGTGAGTGACAGATTTTAAAATGTGAAATGGGAGTAAAATGACTACATTTTTTAAAAAACACGATTTCAGTAAAAATGCTGTTATTTTCTAAACGTGTGCTTTGTGGATTTACATATCTAGATCAGGACTGATACTACATGATCTTATAAGGGATTTCAATTACTAACTTCTATATAAATTTTAGTCATGGGGTTTTAAAAAAGAATATGCTGCAATAGCAGTTAACTATTAGCTTGCAACATAGTGACAGCACTATAAAAGTAACTTAATATGCTGGGAAGCTGAGCAGGAGGTATATTGCAGAGTAGTTTTTATAATGTCCCACATTTGTTAATTTGTATACAATTCTACTTACTGGTTACTTGATTCTCACACACCAGAGAACATTGGAAAGCACATTACACATAAATAGACTTAAAAAAAATCACTTGTAATCTGGTACCCAATATTTCTTTATAATGTTCCCTGTTGCCAGAATACAGTGCCTTTGTTCTGAAACTGTTGATTACAGAAGTTAGGCTTTTTTTCATTCTTTAATGACATATACCGGTAATCTACACAAGTCTAAGCATTTATTTTAAAAGTAAAAGGTATTAATATCATCTGCTGTCTTTGGCCATAATCACGTTATATTTCTTAGTTGTAGCATATTATTATTAGTGATGTGGACAACAATTGGCTCAGCTTCTATAACAATGCTTTGGAATGGAGTATAGTCTGCATTTAGCTCACTGACACTGCATCTGGATTCAACCTACAGAACAAGCATTCAGCTGAAACTCAATGCATTTCACAATATCCTTCACAAATAGGCATGTTACAGAGTAATTTTAGATGTACTAAATATTTTGGAATACAGTAGTAGCAAATTCTGCATTACATACTAATTATGGAAATTCAAAGTAGTATTAATAACTTATTAAAAAACTAGATCTATGATTTTCAAAATTGGCAGCTTTAAGATGTGCAGACTACTACTACCAGAATTCCCCAGCCAGAATACTAGCTGGAGAACTCTAGGAGCTGAAGTTCATACCTCTTAAAAGTTGACAAGTATGCAATACACTGCAATAGACTATATAACTGAATGCCTAATGTTGCTTGACAGGTTTGCAAACAGATGATCAGAAGATTTCAGAATAAAAATACACCATATTGTTTTTGTGGATATTATTTGTTAAACCTGTTCTTACATATTACACAAAATCATTACCATACTATACAATTTCCTGATGCTGATATACCATTTGAACTATGCTTCCAACTGCCAATTTTAATCAAAAATTATATTTCATGTTATGTATTCCAATGTTGGGCATCATAGTTTAAATGAAAACATAAAATTATATAAATCATACATTAAATCTAGGAGAAGCATAGGGAGAAAGCATTTCATTCCTTCATGATATTGTGCAGCAAACTTGAAGGAATTATATATATGAAATGACAAACCATCAATGTGGAACTAATATAAAGCTGCTGAGCAAATATTCATGAACCAATATTACACTTTAACTAGATCAAAAGGTAGAATTTCTTGCTTGCCAAAGAAAACATGAAAGGTTATTTATAAGGAAAAATTTGGGGAGTTAATGTAATCGCTTACATGCAGTATCTATGATGAAGAAGCCATCATCATTATATATCAAACTCCAGCCATTTTAAACAATGAACTTCTGTGGAAACTTTTGGTAACATAATATTCTCTATACATCCACCCCTATCATGCCTGGAAACTGAACTGTGAATTTAAAGCCTTCCCAGTCAATGCAGATTATGAAATTACCTGATCTGACAATGTTTGGAGTTCCTACATGTAGGATAACAATTAGCCCAAATATATCAGAAACTCAAGGCTATGGAATGGAGAAAGAGAAAAAAAAGCAGAAAAAATCTTTGATCTCAAACCTTGGGACATCATGGCTCACACATAAATCTGATGAATCTGGCATTAGAAGCCATTACAATATACACTGCTCAAAAAAATAAAGGGAACACTTAAACAACACAATGTAACTCCAAGTCAATCACACTTCTATGAAATCAAACTGTCCACTTAGGTAGCAACACTGGTTGACAATCAATTTGACATGCTGTTGTGCAAATGGAATAGACAACAGGTGGAAAGCATAGGCAGTTAGCAAGACATCCCCAATAAAGGAGTGGTTCTGCAGGTGGTGACCACAGACCACTTCTCAGGTCCTATGCTTTCTGGCTGATGGTTTGGTCACTTTTGAATGCTGGCGGTGCTTTCACTCTAGTGGTAGCATGAGACGGAGTCTACAACCCACACAAGTGGCTCAGGTAGTGCAGCTCATCGAGGATGGCACATCAATGAGAGCTGTGGCAAGGTTTGCTGTGTCTGTCAGCGTAGTGTCGAGCATGGAGGCGCTACCAGGAGACAGGCCAGTACATCAGGAGACGTGGAGGAGGCAACAACCCAGCATCAGGACTGCTACCTCCGCCTTTGTGCAAGGAGGGACAGGAGGAGCACTGCCAGAGCCCTGCAAAATGACCTCCAGCGGGCCACAAACGTGCATGTGGCTGCTCAAACGGTCAGAAACAGACTCCATGAGGGTGGTATGAGGGCCCGACATCCACAGGTGAGGGTTGTGCTTACAGCCCAACACTGTGCAGAATGTTTGGCATTTGCCAGAGAACACCAAGATCAGCAAATTCACCACTGGCGCCGTGTGCTCTTCACAGATGAAAGCAGGTTCACACTGAGCACGTGACAGATGTGACAGGGTCTGGAGGCACCGTGGAGAACATTCTGCTGCCTGCAACATCCTCCAGCATGACTGGTTTGGCAGTGGGTCAGTAATGGTGTGGGGTGGCATTTCTTTAGGGGCCCCCACAGCCCTCCATGTGCTCGCCAGAGGTAGCCTGACTGCCATTAGGTGAGATGAGATCCTCAGACCCCTTGTGAGACCATATGCTGGTGCGGTTGGCCCTGGGCTCCTCCTAATGCACGACAATGCTAGACCTCATGTGGCTGGAGTGTGTCAGCAGTTCCTGCAAGATGAAGGCATTGATGCTATGGACTGGCCCGCCCGTTCCCCAGACCTGAATCCAATTGAGCACATCTGGGACATCATGTCTCGCTCCATCCACCAATGCCACGTTGCACCACAGACTGTCCAGGAGTTGGGGGATGCTTTAGTCCAGGTGTGGGAGGAGATCCCTCAGGAGACCATCCACCACCTCATCAGGAGCATGCCCAGGCATTGTAGGGAGGTCATACAGGCACGTGGAGGCCACACACACTACTGAGCCTCATTTTGACTTGTTTTAAGGACATTACATCAAAGTTGGATCAGTCTGTAGTGTTTTTTCCACTTTAATTTTGAGTGTAACTCCAAATCCAGACCTCCATGGGTTGCTAAATTTGATTTCCATTGATAATTTTTATGTGATTTTGTTGACAGCACATTCAACTATGTAATGAATGAAGTATTTAATAAGAATATGTCATTCATTCAGATCTAGGATGTCTTATTTTTGTGTTCCCTTTATTTTTTCGAGCAGTGTAGTTAAGCCTGATCTCCAGACTCCCAGTCATAAACTGCTATTGGAAACTGGCCAATAACGCAGTCATTATTAAAATATTTTTAAAAGATCAAAATGTGAAATTGTTACTGAGTTTACAAAGGGGTGGGAACAAAAGAGAGTAGTAAAACTCTTTGAAGACCCTTTAATTGTCTTGCACACAATCCAGATGGCAAAATTAATTGTTGTAATCATGATAGCGCACTAGTCCTTAGTTTTATTTTTACATTCAAGGTGATTCTGCACATTGAGAAGTAGTAGTCTCAATACAATTCCATATCGGGTGTGAAACCAGGTTACTGAATTATTATGCAATTCCCAGTTAAGTCTGTTTCTGCTTGCTTCAATCATGGATCAGTGAAAATTATCTCCAGAGCAAAATTATCTCTGAACACCTTCCACATCTTTGACTTGTTTAAGTTATCGATTTCATTTCTTGTGAGGAAAAGTCTAGGGAAAAGAGAAAAAAAACTAGTTCTCTTATGTAAATGATTTAAACTAATGCACAGAAAAGTACAAAATATTTTTCTTATATCACTGAATTTTGAAGTAATAGAATATAGCCTGTTTATTTTATTTTCCCAGAAAAATATTCAACTCTTCAGCAACCCTTTGGTTCCCATTAAGAATACACATGCCTGTCTCCTGCGCATAGATGGTGCCATTGTGTCTCTGCAATGCTATCATTCACCTCCAAATATTACTCATAGAAAGAATGACAAGTGTGTCACATCTAAGAAAGCTGAATTTTCAAGCACATAAAACTCATACTTTCATGAGTATTGGTACTCAGCAATGCTCATTTATGATGTCTCAAATAGATGCAATTGGGAGGGGAACCTGTATAAATGTCCCCATGTAAGTAAATATAAATAGTTTAAGAAGAGAATAGTTTTTGAAAAGAATAAAATAGCTTGAATGCAAAATAAATTCTAGCCAACGCTAAATGTATTTCCAAACATTAGCAAACAAGCAATATGAAAGATAGTTTAATAGATTAAAGAAAGAGAGAAATAACACTTGCAACATAAATTATCCCCTTGCTTAAAAACCCTCAGGTGCCACTCTAGTATTCTGGATCTCTTACATGGCAAATACAGTTATTTATCCATAGTGACAAAAACTGATAAATTATTTTCAAAAAAAGAGTTGTGAGCTTTTACTAAATAATCACATAACTTTTCTTATAGGCTTAGTAAACTTTATAAATCCATTAAAGGAAAAACAGTAATAGGAACATCTCTCTACACCGGGGTCTTCAAACTTGACAGCTTTAAGACTTGTGGCCTTCAACTCCCAGAATCCCTCCTCCAGGCATGTTAGCTCAGGAATTCTGGGAGTTGAAGTCCACAAGTATTAAACTTGCCAAGTTTGAAAACCCTTGGTCTACATGGTAGAGGCATTTTTTTAAACCTGGTATTCTCTGAAGAGTTGGCTCACACTAAGCAATATTAAATGGCAGGCCTCTTTTTCTCAACAGACTATCCCCCCAAAATACACAACCCCAGAGAAATAAAGAAACGCCTGTCTCTTTCTATGGAGACTTAAACTAAGCTTCTATAACCTAAAACCTCTTATACCCTGGCTCATAGCTCTGGGTGCATTTTGGCTTTCCTTTCCAGTACATGTGTGCTTTCAAACATCACAACTTACTGATAGTCCTGTATAAAAGCTGTGTGGAAACAAAAAAAAAAAGCACAGCCACCATAGCCTCTTGGAATATCCTACATTTAAAAAAAAAGACAAGAAATACAGTTAATGCTACTTAAACATCAAGTCATCATCACAGCCAAACCATAGAAATAACTGAAATCCATAATAAGATGTCTTAAACTGGCCACTTCTGGTCAATTTATGCAGAGAAGTCTAGCAGCT